GCTGGCGTTCATTTTTGTGTCCTGTGCATCCAACTTTTGTGAAATGCTGGCTTCCTGTGCAGCCATCATTTGAGACATATTTTGTGAGATCGCAGTCAATAACAGGTTCATGTCAATACCCTTAGATGAGCCAGGAGCCTTTTCTTGAATCTTACTTGACGGTGATTCTAACTCCTTCACAGAATCATCAGCCTCTTCCTTGTCAATGTCCTTAAAGGATGCATCTTCATCCTCGCGGTGGAACTCGTACTGGTTCAAGTCGATGCCTTCAACTTTCATTGCTTCACGCAGTCGCGATTGCAGCTCTGCCTTATTTCCACCTTCGATGATTTTCTGAATCCTTCGGGTACGATCTCTGGATTGTTAAATAAAACTCGCCAACTTAATTTCTAGTTTTTGTCATTACAAAGAATTTATCTAATATCCTTTATTTACTCAGTAATTCACCATTCAATTACAAAGCACTTTACTAGCTACAATCACTTGCACAAACTCACAATTTTCTCTACTTAACTGTAGTCCCCAACGCGTTTACTTTACGACTTTACTGATGTTAACGCCAACGAGTTCACTTTGTAACTAACTTAATTTGGCAGCTGAGTGTCGCCCTTATATAGCAGTCGGCTGCTCGCAGACGAAAGTGTAGAATAATGGAGTTGCTCGCTATCGAAGATTCTCGTTTAGAATGTACTAGTTATCGGCTTCTCTCTTTCATCTGACATTCGCCTCGCATTTTAGCAACAAAATGTTAGGGCAAAGGTTAACAGGCGATTAGGACTACCAACAACGTAACGCTTAACTGTCCGCCTGCAAGCAGAATTTAATATAATATTATAAGGGCGGAATCAGCAGTGAGAAAACTCTTTTGTCTGTGCTCTCGGTGCTAGTAGTAAAAGGTGTGTCGTGCAACCGCTGACAGTAGATTATTTGTAAGGTATACGGTGTGTCGTGAAAACACCACCAATAGAAGTAAATATAATATACTTACACTTCTACGGTGTGTCGCTGCCGATACGATACAATCAAATCATATGGTGTGTCGTGAAAACGCTACCAATACGACAATCAATGTATATGGTGTGCCGTATAAGCGCTACCAATTAATATACTAATAAAAATGGGCCGTTGTGAAAACTAGAACTACTCGTATAGTCCATTATGCTTCCTTTTCGGAAACAATTTCTAAAGAGAAGCCGATAATTCGTCTCATTGATAGCCCTGTTCTAGACCAGAGAACCGGGTACGTTACAGCAAATTAGCGCAATACTGTTCACTGTAGTTCCGTTTTGCAAGCAATCAATTAATACTATTCTATCGCTATCCCAGAAAATGGTAGACAAAATCGTCGTTGCTGACTTTTCCTCTTTCCTGTATAATCTTAAACTTGAATATTACATTTTTACTATTTCTTGTAATGTGTAATGCACAAATGTAAGTTATAAGTATTATTTTTATTTAAAAACATTCTTTTGTTGTTGGCAAGACGAACTTTTTCATTTCTAGTTTTGTTCTGAGGGCTGCGACGGTTTGGTAGAACTCAGTCACAACACTCGACAAGTTTGTGTTGGATCAAGTGGCACACAAGCAATGGAAATGTTGGAGACAATAAATCACGAGACTTAATATATGTTACATTCGAGTTTGAGCAGATAACATGAAATTTAGTATATTATACGCTCACCCGCTTTGGGTGAGCCTGATTTGATGTTGTCGAAGTGAAAAATAACATTCAAGTAGTCTCGAGAGGAAATTCGCGTATTCAATTAAGTATGCACAAGTAAAAATGCACGAATGTGGGCGTCGGGCGTTCGGGCGTGCATGCACAACAACAAATGATAATGGCGAAAAAAAGTTTTAACCTAAATTTTGTGACTTTGAAAATTGAAACAAAAAACTTTATAACACAAATATATGTTGTATATTTTCATATAATGTTCAGCATAAAAATAAATACTTAAATTCTAAAGAGTTATGAAAGTATTCCGAATTATTAAAGTTTTTTTTTTTAAGTTAATAACACACTTATTTTTCCCAAAAGAACTTCTCCGGCTTGGAGGTCAAGAAAGAATCGAGCCACTTTCTGATACGCTGTGCTGAAGTGAAGCGTACTCCACTTTGAGCTGGCTAGCATCATATGTCATAAAACGATCCAACTATATACCCCAAATCACTGGAAGCGGAAGAAAGTGGATGCATGATCCCTACAGACCCAGTATAGTCGTCAGCTGACGAAGACCAGCCAACTCCAACAACAACATTTCTTTGCTTTAGAAACATACACACGATTTTAAATAGACTATATATTTAGGTATGCAAATATGCATATACCTATGTACATATACGTATTATTAGCTTTATATGCCCTGTAGATAGATATGTACTTAAGATAAGTCTTTTGGAGATCACTTTAATAATTTTACATTTTTTGCTAATTTATTTTTGATAATCTTTTCTCTATTTCTCATTTTTTATGCATATTCCTCATTCGTTCTGTTGTATTATTTAAGTTATTAATTTTATTGGCATGGTAAAAATTAAGAATTTTTTTTTTAATTTTGAGTCTCTTAATTTGAATTTAAACCACCGTTGAAATTATTACTTTTATTAAAATTTTATTTTTAAAATACCTCCTAACCTCAGAGTGTAAGATGATAGTACAAGTTAACACAGGTAACCAATCATCCGGCCAAAATATCACTTCCACGAAAACTGCTGACGGTGCGTCTACAACTTTGCATGTAACAACAATGAAAAACTCAATACTGCAATAATAACCAGCAGTAACGCATCTGGCCATATTGCTGACCGAGCACTTATAGTCTTGCGCGTGACAACAACAAACCAAATGAAATGCTCAATACTGCAATAATAACCAGCAGTAACGCATCCGGCCATATTGCTGACCGAACACTTATAGTCTTGCGCGTGACAACAACAAACCAAATACAAACCAAAATTCGGAATTGGTTCACGCGGCTAATAACGTGCAGCAACTAAAGTTAGGACAAGTAGTGTAGGTATTTAGACGCTAGCGTCGCCCTTGTGTAATTCAGTTATAAAAACTCATCCGCTGAGACCGGCTGCCCTCGTCAATACAAGGGAAATAAAGAAAAAACAAACACATAAAGTGATTGTTTTAGTGGCGCCCAACGTGGGGTCAAACAAAAAAACTCCTTGTAAAGGACACGAACGTTTGGCCGTGGGTTCGGACCCACCTCCTAAAAAACTCTCAGTACTAAAAGTGCCAATAGTCCAAGTTAAAATATTCAGGACACCAGTGCCACTATAGAAGTGCCAATAGTCCAAGTGAAAATATTCAGGACACCAGTGCCACCATAGAAGTGCCAAGTGAAAATATTCAGGACACCAGCGCCACCATAGAAGTGCCAATAGTCCAAGTGAAAATATTCAAGACAGAAGTGCCACCATAGAAGTGCCAATAGTCCAAGTGAAAATATTCAAGACAGAAGTGCCACCATAGAAGTGCCACAATAGTACAATAGTTCAAGTGAAAAAACATTAAGTGAAACACCAGTGCCACCATATAGGTGCCACTATAAATAAATAAAAGAACACAGTAAGAAATATATTTGAAGCATTGCACGCCGAAGGCGTTGCCAACGTGGGACAACCAGCTTTCATAACCAAAAATACAGCAATCAGGATACACGGGGACAACCAGACTTTATATGAACATGGAAATCAATAAAGTGTAAAACCAGATTCCCATTCGAAATTTTGAAAAAATTAAAAATAGTGTTTGAATCAAAGACAATGGACTCCCAGACTCTCCAAACTCTTCTAAATACCGCAATCCGTGCGGCAACCGAACATTCCAGGCAAGAAATTCAGACCATCGTAGACGAGCTTACAAATAGCTAGGATTGAGACCCCAACACAGGTGATTCAATATGAACCAGTTACAATCGAACCAAAAGTATTGTGTGACGAATCCCTAGATCTAGTAAAAACCATGCCGGAATTCAAGGGTGATCCTACCCGTTATGTCTCCTGGAGATAAGCGGCGCAACGGCTTATAAAGTATTCGAAGGATACCAAGGTAGTTCTAAGCACTACCAGGCAGTAGGCATCATAAGAAACAAAGTGGTAGGGGCAGCGGACAGTGTACTTTCGTCCTTTAACACAGTCTTGAATTTCAAGGCAATTATTGCAAGGCTAGATTTTGCATACGCCGGTAAAAGGCCCATCCATCTAATAGAACAAGAGCTGTCTACCTTATGGCAGGGTAAACTATCAGTGATAGCGTTCTACGATGAGGTCGAAAGGAAACTGACCCTCATAATAAATAAAACGATCATGACTCACGGTGGAAATGCCACCCTAATAGAGTCACTTAACAGTAAATACCGCGAGGATGCTCTCCGTATCTTTATTTCGGGATTCAATCGTCCTTTATGTGATATACTGCTTTCCTCCAGGCCTAATGACCTTCCCTCCGCTTTAGCTTTAGCACAGGAGCTTGAATCAAATCATGCCAGGTCCATGTTCGCCCAGTCCTTTAACAGGCAAACATTTCAGAGTCCCAGCCAGTTTCCATATTTACCACAGTATCGAACAATTCGGCCTGACCAGCAACGATGGGCTCACACACAAAGAGTCGTACCAATGGATGTAGATCCATCGCTCTCAAGGTTCAGACAAAATAAACTCCAACCAATAAATGGTAATAATGGGAGGTTCCATCAAGGAGCCTATCCAAAGGCTCCTCGTCCAAATATTGGCAATCCGAGTGGCTTACCTAACCAAAACACCACCCAGACCTTCGGAAGACAAGAGCCAGCTTCCCTGGGCCGGGAAAGGCCAGAGAAAAGACCACACGGGAGTGGACAGCAGGTAACACAAAAGGTGCAAAGGATAAACAACCTTATCCAGGAACAGGACGAGCCTGAGGGAGAATACTGGAATAACGCCAGTTACTACCAGAGCGAGGATTATGTAGAGTGTAATCCAGTCGAATAACAGGACGAACCAAATGATGATGTGAATTTTTTAGGACTAAATCCCTCTTGCCCTATATCGAACGAACGATCGGGGGAGAGGTATAAAATTCCTTATTGATACTGGTGCTGCGAAGAGTTACATCAAACAGCTCGATGACTTAAAGGGAATCAAATCTGCAAGCCACACCTTTACAGTCAAATCTATTCACGGCACCACTGAAACAATCAACATTTTTAATAAAAATACTAAATTCTTTATCTCGCCCAGCTTGGACACCTTCGACGGTATCATAGGTTTTGATCTATTAACAGGAGTGAACGGTAAAATAGATTGTAAAAGGAGATGCTCTTTTACCACTATTGCCCGGATGTTAATAAATTAACAGAAATAAACGCGAACGACCTGGGCATTCCCGCACTATTGCAACGACACGCTAAAGTTTTCGCGGACTCCAACGAAGCTCTACACTATAATACCAATATTATAGGAACAATAAGGACCACCGATGACCTTCCAGTTTACTCAAGGAGCTACCCATATCCCATAGCTTTAGCCGAGTTTGTGAATAAGGAAATTTCGAATCTCTTGCGTGACGGTATAATAAGACCATCCCGCTCTCCTTACAATAATCCAATTTGGGTTGTAAGTCAAAAAGGCATCGATGAGGACGGTAATAGGAAATCCAGACTCGTGATAGACTTTAGGAAACTGAACAACCAATTCCAGACACTTCCGTTATTTTGGCTAAAATTGGAAAAGCCAGGTTTTTCTCAAGTCCGGCTTCCACCAAATTAAGCTAGCTGAAAGGAATCGCGAAAAAACGGCATTCTCGGTCAATAACGGCAAATATGACTTCTGTAGGCTCCCCTTTGGCCTAAAAAATGCGCCCAGTATTTTTCAGAGGACCATTGCGATTACAAAACCCCTAACAAAATACCTACGTGGAGAAAATGGGAATATCGCCGCTAACCAATCTAGGAAAATAGAAATAACTTTAGACGAGGAAGCACTTAACGCGTTTGGTAAAGTTAAGAAAATTCTTGCATCAGAAGACGAACTGCTCCTTCACCCTGACTACGAACAACCCTTTGACCTGACGGACGCCTTTTCACATGCCATAGGCGTCGTTTTGTCACAAAATGGTAGACCTATCACCATGATCTCGAGAACTCTGTCCGGGAAAAAGTTTTTGTAAAGACCAAAGAGAATTGGAAATAAATTCACTAAACTTTACATCGAAAAAATAGTCCAGTGCAATTTGGATACCTATGTTTTTATCGATGGACGTAAAGTTCACAAAATTACCTTAGGGTAACTCTGCTCTTGATAATATGCCATTGGGCTAACGCAAGGAGTTTTAACTATACCATACCCCCATGAGGATTTTAAATTTTTACTCCACAAGACAAACTTGTCAAAATTCGAGGTGATAGCCGAAGAGACGGACACAATATTAGAGAAATTCTCACTTTCTCATGCCAGGTAACTGCTCCGAAAGACGCTGACGAAATATCAAGAGTGCAAGATGCGGTCAGGATACATCACCGACACAAGCGGGGCATCGACATTAGTCAACACTAGAAATAGAGCGGTAATAATGCAATTAAAAATCATCAGTAGCTCTAGCAAAAGAAAATATTAATAACCCCATTCTGCTTAATGACATGGAAATGTATTAGCTGCTGAGCTCTCTACAGATACTAGTATAACTGACATACTTTCTGTTTCTAAATTTAAGATATTCCAAAATACACAGTTTATTTATTTCATTATTAAATACCCGAAAATAGCTGTAATTCGAAATAACGTAAAGTTGCTGCCCGCAATCCAGGAAGGGAAGATTATTTCCTTAGAAACGAGTCTTATGGCTGAATGCAACAGAAAATACAACCTACTTTTTAATTGCAAGGAGTCCATAATACCAAACTTGGGCCAGCCCTTGAAAGAAAGCCCCTGTGTACGACAACTACTGAACCAACGCTATGCAAATTGCAAATCCAAAATCCAAATCCACCGATCAGGAGCCCG